CTCCTCCTCCTCCTCCTCCTCCTCCTCCTCCTCCTCCTCCTTCTCCTTCTTCTTCCAGAAAAAAAAGCCAAATCTGATTTCTACCTTTACAAAACTGAATTGTTTGGAACATGAAATGGTCCCTTGGTTCTTCCCACGTAATTTGGTCCGTCCGGTAGCTTTCATTTTCTCTCTTCATTTCCCCTTCTTCCTATTTCATAAATTCTGAATAAAAGGCAACCCAAGCAGTAAAATCCCATCTGCTTACATTTCTATCCAGGTTTTCAGCAGCTCTAACGATTGGCATAGGTTGTGTTGTGCTCCCTTCCTGCATGACGAACTTTTGTTGTCCGATTGCTAAGTCATGTCTGACTCTTCGCGACCTCATGGACCACAGCATGCCAGATCCTTCCTCCGTCCTCTGCAATTCCCCCGCGTTTGCCCAAACTCATGTTCATTGCCTTGATGACATGATCTAACCATCTCATCCTCCGCTTTCCACTTCTCCTTTTGCCTTCCATCTTTCCCAACATCAGCGTCTTCTCCAACGAGTCCTCTCTTCTCATTAGGTGGCCAGAGTCTTTGAGCTTTGGCTTCTTCAGTTATCTGTCCTTCCAAAGGACAGTTACAGTTGATTTCCTTTAGGGTTGATAGATCTGATCTCACGAATGAAGGCAAATATACACGTTTCAGTATAATATTGCACGATCCAGTCTGAGTCGGTCACCGGAACCAGAGGTTTAGTCTCCCAAGCACAAATCTGAAAACTTGGAAGACTTAAGTTCTGGTTCTGGAGACCAACTCAGATCTAATTTGATCTCTTTGTAGCCCAAGGGATTATGAAATGGGAATGTGTTGTGTTTACCCTTAAAGTCATAAGGGATGTCTGAAGAATCAGTAAACGGCTTGATGAAAAGCTAGCAGCGCAGGTTTGAGACCTGAGCGCAATATGATGGAGTGAGTTGCCGTCCTCCTCCTAGCTTCTGCCAACCTAGCGGTTCAAAAGCAAGCAAATGCAAGTAGATAAATAGGTACCACTTTGGTGGGAAGGTAACAGTGCTCCGTGATGTCATGTTGGCCACATGACCACGGAAATGTCTTCGGACAGCGCTGGCTCAATGGCCTTGAAACAGAGAAGAGTAACCCTCCTACGACTATACCCGTGATGGCGAACCTATGGCACACGTGCCACAGGTGGCACGCAGAGCCATTTGTGCGGGCATGCGAGCCCCAGCCAAACTTACCTGCACTGTGCATGCGCGCGCCTCCCAGCTGATTTTTGGCCCGTTTGAGGCCATTTTTGCCCTCCTGAAGGCTCAAGGGAAACCTCTGCAGCCTCGGGAGGCCGAAAAACAGGCCTTCCAGAAATACCGGAAGTTCCGAAATGGGCCCGTTTTTCGGCCTCCTAAGGCTCCAAAGGCTTCCCTCGAGCCTCCGGGAGGGCGAAAACAGCCTCAAACGGGCCGAAAATCAGCTGGGAGGTGCACGCCTCCTCGGTGCAGGTAAAGGGATAGGGGGGATGATGCGCGTGCATGGGGGGGGTGCATTGCATTGTGAGTTCCTGCGCGCACGCTTTCAGCACACCACCGAAGAAAGGTTCGCCATCACTGAACTATACCTTTACCTTACATTTTCAAAGCTAAACAGTTCCCCCCCCCCTTTTTTTTTTCAGAGATGACGATGGGTCCTGAAGAGGAGAAGGCTGCTGGTCCTTCAGAAGCTAACAAAGAAATCGGTCACTTTTCCGAAGCATCTAAAGCGACCCAAAACATCTCAGCACTTCCCTGTTCCTCATCTGAACAGCCGGCCTGCCGAAAAGCCATGGACAGTCCAGCTCGAAAGCAGCCGAAGAGCCGTGTGAAATTGGCAGCCAACTTCTCGTTTGCACCCGTAACCAAGCTTTAAATCTCGTACCCGGTGTGAAAAAGCCTCGTATCGTTAAGACTGCACAGGAAATAAAGTCGGCTATATCTTTTTATTATTATTATTTTTAATCACTGTCTGGAGGGAGTGTAGCCACCGACCTGTTTTCTTTTGTCACTCTGACTGCCTTCCGTGCAAATACGTTGCACACCCTTAACCGAAGTTAAGCTGGGCAGTTTCCTTTTTTATTACTATTACTAGAATCTCAAATATTTGTTAAGAGCGATCTAACATTTTACCCCTTTTTTTTTTATTCTGTCCCATGTCGACAAAAGCAAATGCGAGCCCCCCTTGGCAGAGAACGGATTTTTTTTTAAAGTCTCCCGATCCCCAAACAAGATGTCATACCTACACATCACGCCTAAATCTCTCGGGGCGTTCTACTTTTGCGATTGTTTGTTATCGGGGAAATAACAACGCAGTGCATAATACGTTGTGCAAAATGGGCCTCCCGAGAGGATTTTTAAAACAGTCACTTAGGTGAGAATAGGCGGTGTGTGTGTGTGGGGGGGTCTTTAGCTTCGTCAGGGCAAAACTTGGGAATTGGGTTTCATTTTTTTTTTCTTTTTTCCCGATGACTTGTAAATTAACTAAAAAAAAAACAACCCAACGAACTCCGAGAAGTCGGTCGATTTGGTACCAAAAAACAAAAAACCCCTTCTTTTTTTAAAAAAAGGCCTTCTTCTGTGATAGTTCTAGTTCCGTCGAGGAAACTTGCAGGAAATGGTTTTTAAGCTTCCTTTTTATAAGCGCTGCCGGTGGATGCCGATTTGAGGTGAAGTGTGAGAGAGGGGGGGTGGGGGGGCGGGAAACCATTTCGGTGCCGTGCGTTTTGAAGGCGCCGTGAGAAGCCTCGGGTTGCAGCCGCTCCCTCGAAGGGGACGGGGGACGGACGGGGACCACGGAGATTTCAAGAAAGTAAAATATGCATCCGAATGCATAAATCATGGGGTCGCGGCAAAGCGACGGGAAGTTTTTAAGACGGAAAAGGCGATGATGCTTCCGCAGTGCCGAGATAGGAGCAGGAGGTAGAATGGCCAAGGTTAGGGGCCTAACCTTGTTTGCGAAACTTTTTAAACGTCTAATAAACGGGAAGCTTAGTATGAATCAAGAAAGCAATTTTTTAAAAACTCTTGTCTGGTTTTTATTCCTCCTAAGTGCTGAAAAGCTGCTCTTGCGTGTCGTGGTCTGTTTTTTTTGTTTTTTTTTGTGCTTCCAGTTCTTATTGGGGTATTTTTTTGTGTGTGCGTGCGGTTGTGATTGTTGTAGTTGTTGGCTTTTAGATGGGCAAGCCTTCAAAGAAGAGATTGAGTCAGTGGGATCCTTTTGCCTTCTTTTTTAGAGAGAGAGAGAGAGAGAGACCTTAAAAACGTCTTCCAAAGGTTTATACCCCTGCCCGGGTAAACTTGGCACTTACAATGGGTTGTATTTGCCAGGAGAGGAAATTTTTTTACTGCTTGTCAAAAGGAGAAGAACCTATTACGAGGTTTCCACTGGCCGAACGCGGAAAATATATATTTTGTAACGATTATATTTTATAATGGACAAGGTTGGGAGATTAAAAAAAAAACAGGCTTGGGATTTCATAGCCAGCAACTAAAGTGGGGAAAAAAATACCTCCAGATGGCTATAGGTACTTTTAAAAAGAAAAATAATGGATTTTGTTTAAAAGAGGATTTTTAAACAAAGCCACACATTGAACCTTTCTGAATTATTATAGCCATTACGAACGCAAAGAAACACTGGAAGTTTTTTGTATTGAGATTGAGATACGGCACTGTTGGATAGCTTTACAATTCCTCTAGAGAGACCTCGAGTTTATAGGAACAGATTGTTCGATATATATATATTTTTTTTTTCCTTTCTCTCTAGTGGTTCCGAGTATTTGTGAGAACCATCTGTCTGTAGCTTTATGTATAACCTGCATAAAACAAAGGCCTCGTCACTCGATTGCGGGTCGTGCTTAACAGAACCGGTTGCGGTTCTGAGCAAGTCATCTTTAAAAAAAAAAAAAAAAAGTGAGACCCAAGTTTTTTTGGGGGGTGAAAAAATAAATAAAGAAATCAAAAGTCCAGTAGTGTTCTTTATTTGAAATACAGATGTGGCCAGGTGATCCATAGAGAATAATCCCATCGTGCATGAATCCATGTGGCATTTGGAACTAAATCGCTGTTTGAAAGTTACACGGTGCTGTTTTCAGATAAATTTGAGGGTGGGTTTTTTTTTTTTTTTTTTGGTTTCTCCCGTAGCGCAAGATTATTTAATGAAGGGATTTTTTAAAAGAAAAGAAAAAGGCTTGGAAAAAATAATGTAACTTGACTGATTGGAACATGAATTAAGGTGATGAAATTCTTTAACTTACACTTTGGACATTTTGATTTCTTTACTGTTCTGAAACAAAACAGATCAAGGCAACTATGCACTCTGGGTGGGTGGAAGGTGAACAATACAGCAAATAAACTTGTCTTAATTTGTTCGGGGCACTTTTGTGGGTCAAGTGGTATTTTTGTGTGTTTGGGACCAAGCAGTTGTCAATAAAAATTTCAAGCAAGCAAATGATCTTCTCTTGTCTCTTTCTCCCCCCACCCACCCACCCCCACCCAGTAAATATACCTTACAGGTAGTCCTCAACTTACAACAGTTCATTTAGCGATGTCATTGGGGGGAAAAAGTGACTTGTGACCATTTTTCACACTTAAGACCATTGGAATATGTGTCACGTGACCAAGATTTGAATGCTTGGCAGCTGGTTCGTATTTATGACAGTAGCATCCCCAAATCATGTGATTCCCTAGTGTGAGCTTAACACAACTTATAAATGTTGCTCGCACAAGAGCAATTGTTGTGGCCTTTTGGCCGCTGGTCCCTCCAGCAGCCGAGTCAGAGGAGGAGGCCGCAGGGGAGTCAGGATCAGCATCGGGGCAACCTGAGAGCTCAGAGAGAGAGAGAGAGAGAGGCAGGCGGAATCTGGGGCGTCCTCAGATGGAGAGTCAACAGCGCCCAGGTCTGGAGGTGGCTGATGAGGAAGAGGAGGAACATCTGGGTCCAGTGCCTGACACGCAGAAGGCAGAGGAGAGGAGAGCAGTGGAAATCTATGGGCCGGTCCTTGGGATGGAAGAGCCACCGCTGCTAGCAAAGCCCCACTCTAGCTCTGGGGCTAAAAGGCTGGGGGGCAGATTTGAATAGATGTGGCAGGCAACTATCCGTCCCCTGACTGACCAAACTTGTTAATCTGCATTAAGAGAGTCACCTTTTTACCGGGGCTCCCGGCACTCTTAATCAAGGAATCTTTTTGAGTTCACTTCAGGGGGGTTGTCGTGTTTGGGGAGGCGGGTCAGAACAGCGATCCTGTGAGTCAGATAAACAGAACACTGCAAACCACAAGAGAACAGATTGTCAGCTTCCGGTAGGCTATTAGCTATTCTATTTAGCGTTTTTTATTAACACATACGTCATCGTGAAAAGGACCCAACCCAGCCACCCAGAAGGTGTTTGCCTCCTTTCGCCCACCGATCAAATACCGCCTGTTAAAAGGAAGAAGGGGTGGGATGTATCCAGTGCTCAGGAGATCATTAAAACGGCTACGTGGTTATTTCTACCTCAGAGCTGGCGTTAGGCTAAGAACCGATCCCACACCTACGCAGAATCTACCTATCGGCTGGATTCAAGACTTGTTCACGCCAGATCAAGACCTAGCAGATACATTCACACAGCATGCTAAGCATAGCATTCACCTTGGCTGTTCTTCCTACCTCACGGAGACGACTTAGCATCCTGTGCTAAATCGAGAAAATGTGGAGCCAAGCCAGGGGGAGGATGCATCTCTAGAGATAACGGGTGTCCCCCGATGTTTACCCACAAGCCATTTTCCCCCCCTCCCCCCCGTCTATGTCTACACCTCACGCTTCTTCTCTGTATTCTGGTTATAGTTAAGGTCTCCTCGTCTTAACCTAGGGCATGCTCGCTGAGGTCTATGCAACATCAAAGAGTCACCAAGAATAGCACATTTCGGCACACAAGTTACTGTAAGAAATTACAACAGGAGAGTCAACGATCAAGAATATCTGGATGCTTGATGTCCTGGTTCCTTCGCCCACCAGTGGTTGTTGGGTTGGTTTTTTTTTAAGACCAACGGGGCAAGTGGGTCAAGCAGAAGGCGTCGCCCGAGAGAGATGCTTAGAGCTACATGATGGCGCACTGGGTCATCCCACAGCAATCCTTAATGAGAGCAGCGCTGGTTTTGGCAATGGTGGGCTTGTTAGGAGGAAGGGATGGTGGTGGCGGTGGCTCAGATTTCTTCTCTGTAGGTACCCCTGCCAAGGTCAGAAACGGAGAGCATCATTCGTTGCCGGATTCAGGTTTCTGAACCCTAACACTAACCCCAAGAAAACCATCATAGATCAGTGGGTGAATCCAGCTGTTGTCTTGCATAACTAATGACTGGCCATAGCACTAGCAACAGGACTTATAGCGCCCCATAGAGGTTTACAATACTCTCTAGGCGGTTTTACAATATATACAATGCAGCTGCGAACTCTGCATTGGTGACAGGAAGGGCATCCGGCCAATAGACGCTCCGCTCTATTCAGTTTCCCCAACTCCATCCCAACGCAAGAGACCCTTAAAAGACATCGTCCCTCGCTTTGGGGTGGAGTCGGGCCAACTGAATGGAGCTGAGCGTTTACTGGCCTGACGCCTTTCCTGTCACCAGTGCAGAGTTCGCAGCTGATATTTACTCCTTGTGTAAAAACCCACAGCCTCCTGAGGCGAGAGCTTCACCTCTAGGCCACTGCACTACTCACAATGTCAGCACATTGCTTCCAACAATCTGGGTCTTCATTTTACTGACCATGGAAGGAGTCAACCTTTGAATCCCATTAGGATCAAACTCCAGGTGGCGGGCAAAGTTTGCCTGCAATATTGCATTCTAACCACTGCGCCACCGGGGCTCTTGATGCAAATAAACGGACTTTAGCTCACACAATTTTTTTTTAAAAAAGTCCTTTTTAATGATCCTATAGTCCCTATTGGGGGTAGAGTCATTGGAGGGAGCTGAGCATTTACTGGCTGGACGCCCTTCTTGATGCCTATGTGAAGTTCACAGCAGATATTTTTTTTCTTTGAGTCCTAGGAGACTGCAGCTACCTAGAATTGAACTCTCAAACTTCCAAGTGGGAGGTGAGTTCTTCAACAGTAGACCACCACACCACCCTTAAGTCACACAAATAAAATTAGCCAACATAGCTGGGTCATTTAGCTATTCATCTTAAGAACGTTAGTGTTCAATGCATAAGCTCTACTTTGGGAGAAGCAGTAGGAGTCATCACAGTGGTGTAAGTAAATGGCACTGAGATCTGGATCAGTAGTAGCACTTAAGGGATGAGATTGAAACTACTTGAATTATACGATCCCACAACATGGTAAGCCATGGTTTGCTTCTGTGGCTTATGGAAATAACTACAATTGGCCGCAAACCAGGGTTTATACTATAAGCCTTATTGCTTGGCTTTCCACAATGGAAAAAGTCATCGTAAGAAAACCACATTTTGGTTTATTTTTCTATATGAAAGAAACCTTTGTTTTGAATAATTTGGGGGGAAAGGCATGCAAACTTACTGGTTGGAGATTGTACAACATTGTCCAAAGGTTTCAACTTAAGCCGTAGGAAATCAGCTATCTCCTTGTCTTCTTCCTTCTCTCTGTTTCAAAGCAAAATAACATACTGTTAGAAGTTAGATTTTGTTCTACTTTATTGATTGATTTTTAAATTGAATTGCACAACCCATGAACTTGTGGGAAAGGAATTGGAAAATTCTAGCC